CTGCTCTCCTGTCCCCTGCGGCCCTTGAGGCAGCCTCTACCTAGCTCCCCTTTGCAACAAGAGTGGCACAGTTCAGCCCCGCCCTGCCCACTTGTCCCAGCTGCCCTTGAAGAAAGTTGTCCTTCTGATGAAGGCCTTGCAACCCCTGGGCAGTGGCTGGCTCCCTGCCCGTCTGCACACCAGCAGAGCCTCTGCCCCCCTCCCGGGGCTCACTCCTCAGCTGTGCGTGCCCAGTGTCTTGGCACCATCCTGAGGGCTTTGGACATTGTTTTAGGAGCCAGGTGTGCCGCAGCATCCTGCAACCTAGCTAAGACATCCTGCTTCCTAGCTGAGGCTGAGGCTAAGGCAGGAGGGTCACAGCACGGAGCCCAGTCTAGGCAACTTACCAACTTAGCAAGACTCTGGAGATGTTGCTCTGTGGAAAGCCACAGGTTCAATCCCTGGTGCCCTACCCAAATAATCTGACAAATAGATAATTCTGACGAAGGGGAAATTTGCCCACACGTATGCCCACAAGGAGCTGATGTGTCACATTCACACTGCAGCCTTGCAAAGGTGATGCTTAGCAGGGATGGTGCTGGAACCACTGGGCTTCGGGGCCGAGGAGGAAGAGAAGGGCTTGCAGGGGGCTGCTGCTTGGGGGCTAAGGGCAGCGCAGCCGTAGGTCAGTGTGCATGTGTCAGTGTGTGTGCGTGTGTCAGTGTGTGCGTGTATGTGTCAGTGTCAATGCATCAGTGTGTGTATGTGTCAGTGTGTGTGTGTGTGTGTGTGTGTGTGTGTGTGTGTGTGTGTTGCTGGGAGGGGGCTTCCTTGCCATAAGACACAGGTACCTGAGTGTGTGTGTGAACAAAGCTGTCTTCTCACCATGCGCAGCAATTGTGTTCACACAGCGCATTCACTGTTTTCAAAGTAGAATCCTGAGTCCAAACCTGGTGGCGCATGGCTGTAATCCCAGTGCTGGGGAGGCTGAAAACAGGAGGATCACTATGAATCTGAGCTGTGTAGTGAGACCCTACACACACACATACACACACACACACACACACACACATGCACACACACACAGAATCTCGCAGCAGCCCCAGTGCCTTGCACGTACTCTGCCTTCTCAGAGGTCCAGAATGCATATCAGCATTCTGAGAAACTAGGAACTTCATTTAACTTTTTTCCCCATAATTTTATTGAGAAATAAATAGCAATGAGACAGTTTCAAATCAAATTGGTGTAACATTTCCAATAATTAACACATTGCATACTGCTCATTTAACTTTTAAAACTAAATTTTTCCCCAAATTCCACAGGTTGTGACACTTTTGCCCCAAATATTGCCAATTAGCCCAGTGGGAAACTAACATCCATATATCATACACTTCGCCTAACTGGACATCAGGATTTTAAAAATGAAGTCCTATTTTCCCGTTGACTTCAAGCATCATTTTAGAAAATGTTCTCGTGCCCTGTGTTGGGTCAGTCTACTACTTACTTAGCTTGACGTTTGCGTCTAAACCAAGGTCATAGTTTAACAGGCGCCTATGTACCTGTGAAAAGAACATTTGGAAAAGGCAGCTTCCCTAGAGAAGAGCGTGCAGGGCTCTACGTGCTGCCCTGCTGCACCCGAACGCCTGCACGTGCACACCCGCCCTGGTCCTTCCCGAGGCGTCCTGATCAGTGCCGCTGCTCTGAAGGGAAAATTTACTGAGTATGTGACGGGGCTGTGACAGAGACGGAGTAAAGAGCCCTGATTCCCTCTTATCTGGAAAACTGGAAGAAATTGGCAAAGTCAACTAACCCGCCCCCCAAAAGGCTGATAGTAAAGAGGAGGTGGGTGCGCAGGACAGAGATGCACCTCCAACTAGCTGAGCCCACTGCTCTGGAAGGGAGGTGTGACCAGGTCTGCACCCCGCCAACCTGCGTTCTCTGCAGAGTGCTACTCACTGCCAGCCAGCGTGGGCTCGCCACATGAGACAGAGCAGGCAGCTGCCCCCAAATCACACACCTCCTTCCTGCAACATGACTGAAATCTCCATCACTCTCAGAGAAGTCTTGGATGTCCCAGGAAAATCATCCCATTCCAATTCCCAGCCCACCAGAGTACCAGGGCTGGCCACTCGTTTCTCTCCTCCCCACGAAAACTCCAGAATGGCACTGGAGGTGATGCAACTGGTCACCCGGTCATCTGGCTTCACACTGTGTAGACAGAAACATTGATGACATTTCCAAGCTACAGGAAGGCCACATGGAATGGCAGAACATGACATGCCGGATCATTTTTCTTCTCCTGTTTTGCTTTGGCTTTTGTGCCATGTAGCAAGGTGAACAGTTCACAGGTATAACTCTGAGTCTTTTCTCACAGTTTTCTCTGCCTCTGCCCTCCACTCACCTCTTCTTCCAATGGAAAAGTAAAACCACTGCTTTTACAAGGGAAGAAGCACCAGTTACAGTACTAACTGTGTGCTGAGGAATCAGAAAAGCTCCCCTATTCTACTGAGGACTTCATCCTTACCATTCCTTTGCCAGCTTCCCCCAGCTCCGTATCAGTGTCATCAAGTGCTATTGAGTTGTGACCCAGTCGGGCACAAGGAAAATAGATTCAATGATCCTGTGACACTGCTCATTCCAAAAATAAATAAAATTAGAATAAATAAACTATCACTCAAAAGAAAAAGCCTCAGCAATCCAACCAATGGAATAATTGTAAACATTTAAACACACACTGTTACTTGTGTGCATGTGCTTCAACGTACCAAGTTTCTTGAACAGTGCAGCAAAATCTTCAGGCTTCCTTCAAAGTCCTTACCAACAGCTCTCGAGCTTCCGTCTAAGGCAAATTCAATTCTGGAAATTCCACTTCTATTTCTCAAATTATGCTCTGGAAACCCTGTGTATCAAAGTGCCTGGGAGAAGCTTCTTGAAATGCAAGTTCTGGGCCCGTACCTACTGAGTTAGAAGCCCTTGAAGGAAATCCCAGGAATCTTTATTTTTAAAAAGCTTTACAAATGAAACTTCTGTACTCAGTACAAAGGTATGAGAAGCTCTGTCCTAAAACTTTGAAGAGTTTGATTTATGTCTCCAGTTGTATTGCCAGATATTTTTATTTCTCTGAGGTGAAATAAACTTCCCATAAATTCCATAAACTTTGTCAGTGAAGTGTAATTAGCAGTCCTAAAGGCCAGGCTGTTTCAAAGTGGCAAAAGTAGCAAGTGATACCAGTAGTTACAAAAGACTAAAATTCTTCAGATTTAAAAGCACGCCAAGGGGCCAGGGAGATGGCTCAGTGGAATAAGGGCTTCCCTGGCAAGTGCAAGGGCCTGAGTTCGATCTCCGGTTCGGCAAAAATAAAATAAAATAAAATGTTAAAAAAAAATAAAAGCACCAAGTGGACCATATATTAATCAGAATACACAAATTCCACCATAACAAGTTTTCATGATTGCAACAAGCAATTCAATATGATTTTCCTATAATGTGGACATTGTGCGAATGGGCTGGTGAGACTAAAGATCCAACTGAAATTAATGGACAGTGTCTTATAGAACCTCCTTACAGTGGGGGAGCTCTTCTGCACAGGAACAACTCACCTCTTCATAAGCAGGATTTCATTTCCCATCCAAGATGAGCTATGCAAAGTTAGTAGACGCATCCTGATTCCTCGCCCCTGCACTAAGGTGAGAGATGCTCACACAAAGTCCACAGGTTGAGACAGACAAGCCGCAGGGGTTGCAAATACCAGCCCTTCCTCTTACAAATAAGGAAAACAGCCACCAAGCCACTTGGCTGATGACAGAACTGGGTAAGATCCAGGCTTCCTGACTGCCCTGCCCTCCTTGTGGGCAGGGGAGGTGCCAGGACCCCAGAGCAATCACGGATCATTACTTCATGCCTATGAGGTAGATGAGACTAAGCCAAGCGATGCTGGTAAGATCTTCCCATGCACGGTACTTTACCAAGAGCCTGCTACAGGCCTCTACCTGGGTTGTGTTTACTGAGTCTGCTGTTCAACAGATACATGCAGGGCTCCTGTGAAGAGCCAAGAGTTATGCCATGCCCTCGCCACGGAGGGAGAGCAAGATTGCAGGCTGTTATGTTACAGAGTACAGAATCAAGCGCCTTGGCCACAGTGCTTATGCTGAGCTGTCCTCCCCGACCCCCGCTGGCCCCGAGCACCCACCTGTCCCACTGAGGCTAGGATTCCCAGAGCCCAAGCAGCAGCTGGAAGGAGTAAGGTATCATCTTCAAATTAGAGGGGAAACGATGCACCTCGCAGTTCCCATAAAACCTGGTCTCCTGTCCAAGTCCCGTTGCCACAGACCACAGGGGACAGTGAGTCAGTGGGGGACCCCTGTGCGACTCCTGGGCATCACCCTCCTGCTGTAAGTACCCTGCTTCTTTGGGCTGGAGCTTGGCCTGACCTGGGCCATGCACTGCTAAGCGTGGCAAAGCTGTTCCCCTCATTCAGGAAACGCACCTTGCCTGGGTTCTGACCATGCAGAGGCCGAGAAACACAAATACAGCTCCTAAATGACTTCTGCTCCCAGGACCTCGCAGTCTGTAGGGGAGGCGTGGGGACCCAGTGAACTAAGCTGCAGAAACAGGGAGACTGCTGCAGTTGAAGGTGTAGGGATCTCTGGGATGTGGGCAACTTTTCGAGGAGCAAGGAAAGGACCCAGAGTGGTGGGTGAAGCCCAGACCCCTTTGAGCCTCGGGATGTGGAGGCTGGGAACCCACCCACCCCTCCTCTGTGAAAAGGTACCTCGGCCCTCAGCCAGCTCCCCATGCCTGCAGGCGGCAGGGCAGGGGTTCGGGACGCACCCGCGCATTTGATCCCAGCGGGCACGCAGCACGCGTCGGGGTGAAGCCGGGGTGATGGGCAGGGCGTCGTCCGTTGGAGGGGGACGGAGAGGGTGGGGCGGAGGGGCGGAGGGAGGGCGGAGGGACTGAGGGCGGGCCCGGGGCTGGGACACTGCTCAGTGACCGCAGCGGAGCGCAGTGCTGCTTGCGGCATGGGACGGCGGGGCCTGGTGCTGCTCCTGCCGCTGCCGCTGCCGCTGCTGCTGCTGCTGCCCGCAGCGCTGCCCGCGGCGCACTGCCCCGAGCCCTGCACCTGTGCTGCCCACGGCGCCCTGCGCTGCCCTGGGCCCCGCGCTGGCCTCGTCCGACTGTGAGTAGCCGCGGTCCCCTTGCTGGGAGCCAAGTCCAGGCCGCCTGCGCTTCTCCGCACCTGGCTACCCGAGGGGGCGCACGGTGCCCAGAGCAACCCCGCTCCAGCCCTAGTGCCAGGGCGGGGCGGCAGAGTTGGATGGGGTCACTCTGGGAAAGGAGGGCCGGGCCCAGGCTGGGGGACCAGCTGTGGCTCCAGCGGCGCCCGGGCCCACCTGCACTAGGGGAGGGAGCGGGGCGCCCAGCCGGGAGGCACCTGTAGCTGGCCTGGGAAACTCATGCCCCTGGGCGAGGGGTCCCCACCTCCCGGCGGCTATAAGAAGTGGACAGAAAGATGGGCTTGGCTGGGCAGTGGGTGCTTTGGAGTGATGAAAATGTTCTGAAATCGAACAGACAATGGTTCATGAAAACATAACTTTTGTACGTTTTAAATGGGCGCGTTTTATATCACGTGGCTTGCATCTCAATAAACGGTTAGAAGGGAAAGTAGGGACTGTACCCCTAAAGCATGCACAGGCTCTGGCTATGGGAAATCTTCGCTATGTTCCAGTCCTTAGAGACCGTGGGATTCCGTGGTAGAAAAGGAAAGAGCTCTCAACTCCTTGGGGTCCCCAAGGACCCCGCTTCTGGCAGGGATCTGCCCTTTCTGCAGGGCTGAGCCTCCCCCAGGAATAGCGGTCCTTGAGAGGAGCCATTTAAGGGTTGAGGGGTTTATATTAATTAGTTTTCATTAATGATCTTGTCAGCTCCTCTCCCCAGCGCTGAGGACCAGCCTGGTAGAGTTTGTTTCCATCAATCACCAGATCATGGTGCTCACCTTGGGTGCGGCCCCCCTTGTTCTCAGGAATAGCTGCGCCCCTGACAGCCTCTCTCACTCTCACTCGCTGCTGCCTCTACAGAGAAGAGGCCTAGCAAAGCGCAGAGGGAGGGCCCTGCTCGCCACGGTGGGGCTGCAGAGGAAGCAGAGGGCAGCGCTTGCCCTGCCCAAGGCCTGGGTGCAGAGCCCCCCACCAAGAGCAACCCAACCCCCAAACCGCAGCCACACAGGCACAAAGATAGGAATGCACCTGCGAATTCTCTTTCCACATTTGCTCTGTTTTCAAGAAGAAAATTATTTCTTCTTTAATTAAAAAATTGAAAAAGAAGCCTATTCCCAATTTCTGCAAGGCTGGCTCTGGGGGTGGGGTGGGGGGTCCCTTTGGGTCCTGACTTCTCCCATGCCTTCTCTGCCTCTGGCTCCTGCTGCTGCTTTTGCTGGCCTTGGAGAGCAGTTGCTGGGCTCCTTCCTTGGAGAAAACTGAAGGGGAAAAAATAAACATACTCTGTCACTCGTGGCACAGTTTAAAGAAGCCTGGAAACCCAGTCTCTGCCCTCTGGGAGGCTGAGGCAGGATAGCAAGCTCAAACCCAGCCTGGGCAACTTAGCAACTGAGTGAGACTGGGCATCCAAAGGAAAGTGAAAGGGGCTGGGGATGCAGTTCAGCATAAAGGTCCTGGGATAGTCCCCAGGCCCAGAGAGAGGAGAGGGAAGGGGCTGCCCAGGGCTGGGTGCTGCAGCAGGAGGTCGGGATGGGATGGGCGGTGTGCATGGGAGCTGCTGCGCTGTCCCACCCTTGAGCTGGTCCTCCAGGCCTGAAGCCTTCTTCTTCTCTAAGTGACTTGCTCACTCCCCAGCCTGCCTGGCAGCCACGGCCACACACGGCCTCTGCTGAGGTTCAGAACCCTGGACCCAGGTTACCCTCTCCAGGTCATGTTCCCTGAGGACCAGCGACAGGATGGTGACTTCATCTCCCGGGGCAGAAGCAGAGCCCACGCGGGCCAGAGCAGAGTAACGGGCGCAACACAGTGATGCCAGCATCCGCTTGACAAGTGGGGCAGGGCTGCTGCTGCACGCACTGCTTCTCAAGGTGTGCCCCGGGCCACACCTCCCAGGGGAGCTCGCGGGAGCTCGGGCCAACCCTGAAGCAGATCTCCTAAGCCTGAAACTCTGGGGGCTGCGGCCGGAGTCTCCCCAGGGACTCTGTCGGCACTAAAGCGGAGCTCTGGCGTGGCTCTCCACAGAGGGACCAGCTTCCTGCAGAGCAAGCGGGTCTTACACTCCCTCAAGCTATTCTCCCCGACACACCCAACTCTTACTTACTGCTGAAAGGTATAAAGTTAAAGCCCCAAATTCAGACACAGGCAGAGAAAAAGCAAAACAGAGGAAGTTTGTTTTGTTTTGTTATAGATTTTTCTTCCAAGAGGAACAGAGGGCCAGGCATGGAGGGCACACCTGTAATCCCAGCCCTGGGGAGGCTGAGGCAGGAGGATCACTGAGAGTTGAAGGGTAGCTTTGGTTGTGTAGTGGGTTCAAGGACAGCCTGCACTACGTAGCAAGATCCTGCCTCCAAAACCAAAAAGCAAAGCAAAAAGTCAAAGAGGACTCCAAAGAGGACTGAAGGAACCCACGAAAGACTGAAGACAGAGTGAAGGAGGAGTCATATTTGTTAGGGGACCAATAGGGTGGACGGGAAGCCCCAGTCTCAAGAGGGACAGTTCTGTGTCCTGAGAAGACTGCATAAAGGTACAACCATGAAGCCAGCGGAGGACAGGACCAGCGGGTGGGCTCCTGCTGAGCCCAGCCTTGAGGGTGAGCTAATGACACAGTGCGCAATCGTACCGGATAGATCGTACTGCAACGGGCAAGTCATCAGGAGTTCTGAAGTGACGAGGCCAGGCTTCCAGGGAGAGGGTGCTGGTGGTCCTGCCCCCGCTTACCCACTGGGGGCAGCAGGGGGACAGGATTCCAGAACACCCTGAAATCTACCAGCTCCAAGCAATGTATGCTAATTTATGCTTTAATCCATTCAGGCCTTGATAACTCTGCTTACTAAGACCTTGATCTAAAATTCACTATTTGGTTTAAAAAGCCAGAGAAAAAGGATGATAATTGCTTATCTCTGACAAGCACCCTGCTTGCAAATTTTGAAAATGCCACTGTTCAGTTTGTTCATATCTTTCCTCCCCTCCCATATCTCATTAAAACCATAGGTGCTTAAAATCTAAAATACAATACAAGAAATCACCTCGTACATTTTCATTTTTGTTAATTAAGGAAAAAGGTAAATGACAATAACTGATTTAAATTTTTTTTCCGTTCATTTTCTTATTAGTTCTAGGCAACTGGAAGGAAGGAGAAGGGGGAAAAAAATCTCACCTTGCCCATGGTTATATAAAGATTTTGTCTCTAGGACAACAGAAAGGTTGATCTGCTTGATATGGAAATAGCTTCTGAGAAATCTGTTAGTAAGAAAATGCTAATAATAATTATAGCAATTTATTTCTTGCATGTTGTGCCTACTACACAGAAGTTAAACTTTTAGACTATATTTTAAGACACCACCCAGAGGCTCCAGAAGGGCCCAGTGTATCTGTCAGTACAATGTCCCAGCAAGGTAGTGGCCTCCAGGGAGGCAGGCCCAGGCCCAGGTTTGCTGCCTGTCCTCAAGCCCACAGTCCCCAGAAAATACACTGGTCCTAGGGGCTGGAGAGATGAGGAGAGGCCTCAGGCTCTAAGGAACTTGGAGTGGCTCAGTCACTGCAGCCGAAGGAGGCCTTCTTGGGGCCTTGAAGGAAGGGACAAAGCAAAGGGCCCCGGGGGAAGCACTGCAGGGTCAAGCAGGCTGGAGGGACCTTGCTTAAAGCACAGCATAAGACTGAATAAATTCTTTCCTCCTCAGGCCTGGTCCAAGCTCATCGGGGGGATTCTTTTCCTCCATTTCTTATGAGCACGTATTTGTTACACAGATTAATGGATTTCATTGTGACACTTTTGTGCACACACATAGCATACGTGGTGCTACACAGCGAATGTGTACATTCTCTGAGATTTATGACAGCGAAGGACATTCCGCCATTAATCCCCCTCAGGATGCTTCACCCTGCTCTGGGCACACCTGAGGCTGCTGCTCTGTTGGGTGGCACTGGGCAGCAGCACTCACCTTACAAAGACACTGTGCTGGAAGCGACAGGGGCACAGAGGGGGGACTGGTGGCAGTGTGTCTCTTACTGTAATAAACATTTTATTTTATTTTTTTAAAAACACATAGCACTTTATTATCAATACAGTGATGAAGGGCAGGTCTTCAAGGGGCGGGAGCGGGTCCTGAAAGCAGGGAGGCGGCGCCTACTTGCCAGCGATGAGCGGGTTCCGCAGCACCACGATGACTGAGTCCCCGCGCAGGAACATCTTGGAGATGTAGCGGTCCTTGTTGACTGGCTTGGACTTCTTCTTGCCCTTGCCATTCTTGGGGACCTCAGTCCACATCTCTTTCACGTTCTCCAGCACCATGCTGCAGTGCCTGTCAAAGGCCTTCACCCGGCCTAGCAGTTTCTTGTTGTTGCGGCAGTTGATGAGCACCTGGGTGTTGTTCTTGACTGACTGGGTCAGCACAGAAAGTGGACCCGTGTTAAATTCCTCCTCCTCCCGCTTCTGCAGCTCCTCTGGGGTCATCTCACTCTTGGGCTTGTTGAGGAGGCTCGTGGTGGCAGCTGCAACCTCCGCGTTACTACCGTCTCCCTCGCGTTGCTTCGGCCTCGGAGAAAAGGGGCTGTAATAAATATTTTACTTAAGCACTCGCCATGCATTTACCCCCATCCCACGACCCTTCCTGCCGCCCCTCCCCCATGAAGCTTCACGTTTTGAGGGTCACAATGTCCATGACACATTTCAATTATATCACCCACCTGCTACTGCCCCTACACACCCTCTCCTCCTCCCGCCTTTCTGTGCATCGTCTACCTATGCTCCACATACTAGGGAGAACATGTAATTTTTCTCTTTCTGAGTCTGGCTTATTTCAATGATGTTCTCTGCATCCCTTCAGTTTTGGGCAGATGATAAAATTCCTCCCTTTTCACAGCTGCATATGGCGCCACCATACGTACATGCCGTTTGGTTTTAGCCTTTCATCTGCGCATACACACCTAGGCTGGCTGCATGTCTTGGCCACTAGGAATTGCA